GGAAGCAACTAAATTGGTCAAACATAACATAGGACTTTACCCAAAGTGGATAGTATCATTAAATGACCAAAATGCCCAAGCTCAACACAGGTTGAGTATGAAGTGAACTCCTTCACTACCACACAGCATTTTTGTGCCATGCCATCATGAATATATTAAGTTAGATATCGATGTATAACATATATTATTGGGAAAAAAATTGTTAATTCTCACGTCAGCATTCGACCAAACGACTAAATTCAATTAGTGAATATAAGTAAAAGAAAATTTTTCTTTTATGAGCTCACTTTTGGAGTTAAGTTAAACTATATATTAGTTGGTATCACAGTAACTTTAGCTGTAAAAGTTAGTTGTTGGTTAGTTAAACCAGTTCATTTCGATATACTTATAATTTTTTAAATCAGAATTTTCTACTTAATCATGAATTCTAACTTTTTTCTTGTGCATGTCACATAGTTTAAAATCTATAATCTCATGCATACTATTCTAACACTCATCGAATAGTTTCATGAATTGTAACACAAATATATATAAGTCATGCTTGATACATTATTATGAGCCTACAACATGAGTTATAGCCGGGATGTGGTATCTGAATCTGACAACATGTATATATAGTGTACATGAAAAAACCTTAATAAGCTGTCCCTTGACGGCCTCAGGACCTGTTCCAAGAAGTTTATCACAGAAGGCAAGGCCTGAAGACGCGACTTTAAATTGACATGGAGCTTCAGCTGCTGGTGCTTGTTGGGGTAAAGAATGAGAAAGGATAGCATCCAATGCAAGAAGGCTTATAAGAGTTGTTCTTCTGTTGAGCACTGGTGGTGCTGCTTGTGGTTGGACTTGGACAGTGCACTTCACGTGGCGGTGGCAACCAAGAGGTGGTGATTCTGAATGGTTATTACATGTTTGGGGTTGCAGAGAAGGAAGGCGTCGAAGGGAAGGGAGGCATGTCCCAACTGAATAAGGTGCCACTGAACCCATCCCAACACCAGATGAACCAATGGCTGTGCTTGCTTTAAGTATTAATTATCCACCCAAAAAATAAAATATATTACCTTCAAAAAATAAATCACTAATTTACCGAGATAAATAAAAATAAGTTAGATAATTTTAATTAACAATGTCATGAATTTATATTTGCTTTAAAAGTATTTATAAAATTAGAATAATAACTATATTTAATTATATATTAATATTCAATTTTCATGAACAAGAATAACATGTAGTTAAGAGTAAAAAAACGGGTTAATTCATTTTAATCCATCATTGATATGTTAAAAGTGGGTTAATTTGTCCTCGCATAAAAACCTATATGTATTAATGGTTGACGGGTTGGTGAGTCAACATAATTAACAATTAAAAATAAGTTATTTTATTTATATGTAATATTTATCAAGAAATTAGATATATACTACAATACCAAACATAAATTTAAAATATTATTTTATTTAAATCTCTAATAAAAATCAAAATAAAATAATTATCAGAAACGTTATCATGCAATCTAGTTATTCTTTCTCTCTCATACATATATATATATACATACATATGTGTATAAATATAA